TTTGTATTTTAAATTGTAATGTATCATCAGGTAGACCGAGTATAAGATCGGTTGTTAATATTTTCTTGAGTTCATGGAATGCTGTTCTTCCGTCATCTGATAATACAAATTTTGATTTGTTCATTTTTTGTTGGTTCACTGTTGATGGTGAATACTTGTGTAGTGGTGCAGCGATTATGGAGAATTTTGGAATGAATTTCCTGTAGTATTCTGCTGCTTTGACAAATCTAAATGCTTCTTCAGCTGTTGTTGGTTCTTTTGTTTCAGTTAGGCCACGGATGTTGTTTGGGTCTGGTTTAATGGTACCTTCTTTAATTAGGTGACCAAGGAATAATATTTCCGATCTTGCGACTTCACATTTATTGACATTTAATTTAAAGTTTGCTTCCTGTAATAATGAACAAACTTCTTCAATGTGTTGTATATGTTCATAAAAATTTTTTGAATATATAATAATATCGTCGATGTAGGCGAGAACATGTTTCCACCTATTCGGACCTAATATTTGATTAACAATACGTTGAAATGTGGGTGGTCCGTTTGTGAGACCTTGTGGTAATACTTTGAATTGGAAATGTCCATCTCTGGTTGAAAATGCTGTTTTTGGTCGATCTGATTTGTCTAATGGTACTTGAAAATAACCTGCTTTGAAATCAAATTTTGTAAAGTACGTTGCTGTTGTTAATTGGTCGTAAATATCATCAATTCTTGGTAATGGAAAAGCATCTTTCGTTGTGATTTGATTTAAACGACGATAATCGACGCAAAATCTTGTTGTTCCATCTTTCTTTTTTACTAATACGACTGGTGATGACCATGGAGATGTTGAATGTTCAATAATTCCGTTTCCCATTAATTTGTCTGTTTCTTTCCTTAAGGTTTCCTGATCTTTCTTGGATTTTCTATATGGTGGAGTATGAATAGGTCGATGTGTACCAGTGTCAATAGCATTTTTTAGAGTTATATCAATTTTTGACGGTTCGCTAATGTCGAATAATTTTCCGTACTTCCATAAAATTCTTGACATTTGTTCTCGTTGTTTATCATCATAAATATGTTCAGTTAATTTGTTAATTTGTTCGCGTATTTCCTCCGAATAACATTTAATTCGAAGGTGTTTAAATAATTCATTTCCAGTATCGAAATATTGTTTACATTCTCGGCATTGATGTTGTTCTTCGTGTGATGTTATCGTTTGCATATTTCTAGACTCTAGTCTACTAGTAATGTTCGTTTCTTTTCCTTTTGGAATGAGCTTTATGTACGCTTTTCCTTTCGGAATGCGTTCTTGTACATTATTTAATGGCATTGTAACGCCTATTGAGGCAGCTATTTGCGTTGTTATGCCTAGCTTCGTTCCTTTGGAAAGTGTTTGTTGTCGATCCGTTGCATTAATTATACCAATTTTAATTCTTTTATCTTCAATGTGGATTAATGTACTTGCAATAAATAATGCTTTGTTTTTTAATCGAGGATTTGGTTCAAATAATACATCTATCATATTGTGTTGTGGAACTTTTGCTTCTACCATTTGTTCTGAAAAAGGAGGAATAGTGATATGATTAATAAGAGTAGCTGGATAATTTAAAATTGGTGGTGTTATAAACGGAGTTGATACTTCTTTACCTTTACTTCGAATCATAATTTGCTGTTCTGGTGTTAGAATATAAACATTATTACGTTGGATCCAATCACTACCTAATATTAAATCTGTAACTAAATTGGTTGCGACATCAGCAATCACTTCTGTCTTTAATCCACTAATATTAATTTCTAATGTTGTTTCACCAATAACATTTAATGTTGAACAATTTACTGATAAATGATTTTTTTTTTTTATTAAATTTTTATGTGGAATGTTTTTTAATAAGCATTCATGTATGATAGTGATGGCCGATCCAGTATCTATAAGTGCTTCTTGTGGAGTGTTGTTGCATATAATTTTTACAAAAATTGGATGAAATGTTTTTGTTGTTGATGACTTTTTTTCTCCACAGGGATTGTCGCCATCTTCCGATCCCCTTATTCGAAAAAATGTTGTTCAGGACAATCGCGTATTCGATGATTTGATTGTCCATATTTAAAACAGCCGTTGTCCTTCTTATAAAAGCAGTTCACGGTCGAGTGATTTTTCCGATTGCAAATTAAGCATGAATCTGTGTTAATTGCTTCCATTTATTCCTTTTAACTCCATTTTCAAAACTTTATTTCAATTTTTTTTTAATTGATAAAAAGCAAACAAGACAGAAAAAGAAAAACACAAAAAAAGGGAAAGAAAAAAACACACTCATATCAAAACGTATATCCCTTTATATATTCTCCTTTCATACTTTCTTCCCCTCCCATATCTCACCACATACCGATGACGTTTCTTTTATTGCATAGGGGTAAATTTAGTACATGGAGAGAGACAAGAGAGAGAAAAAGAAAACATCAAAGAATGCAATGGATGATACCATAACGAAACACAAAGCAGAATATAGAAGATATATCATAACTAAATTTATATCATGGCCATCGGCCATGACAATCTGATCGGTGCATTTTATTTTCTGGATACATCTTCCAATTGTGCTTGGTACGTTCGTAATTATTTTGTTTTTGATGTATTCGATCATTTGGTATTGGAGTCAATTGACGGTGTTGTTTTGGATATGAATCATGTGTTGTTGGTATTTGTCGACTTGGCAATCGAATGTTCAATGGTCTCGATTGAATTGTTGCACTTGGTAACGTCGATTCGAAGAATGGTTGTTTTTTTGTTTCATAATAGAAATTATTACGTTGTTGTTGAATTCGATTTTTTATATATTCTTCTTCTCGTGCGATTTGCAGCCATTCTTCTGGTTTTCTAATATCTTTCTCATTTCGAATTAAATATTCCTTTAATGAAAGTTTAACACCGGATTGTAATACCGTTATAACTTGTTGTTCGGTAATGAATTGTCGGGCTTTTCGATATTTGCGAATAACACTTTCATAAAACGATGTAATTGATTGATTTTCATCTTGATAAAGTTGAAAAAATTCTTGCATTAACTGACTTCCCGATGTAAATTCTTTAAATCGATCTCGTAATGCCTTTTCAGCATCGTCCCATGTGGTAAATGATCTTAAATTTTCTTGATACCATCTTAATGCTGGTCCTGTTAATTTACCCATGGTTTCAAGGATTTTTGTTTCATCTTTTTATTTCATTAATGAGAATAAATTGTTCAAATCGAATAGCCATTCGTCGATATCAGTTTCATTGAATTCTCCTGAAAATTCAATTATTTTTTTCATCGCTTCTTTTTGACTTGAATGAAGTTGTCGAGTTCCCATTGAATCTGTTTCAATTTTTTGCATAAACGACATTTCGTTTGCTGTCCTATGTCGTATTCTTGTTGGTGGATTTGTAATTAATTCGTATGGTAAAAGATTCACACCACTGTGTTTGATCGCGCTTCTTGTACCGGTCGCCGTTGTGAAAAAAATGCACTTAAAAGAAGGACAAAAATTTTGACCTATATATATGGAAGATACGTATATCTTCTACTAATAAAAAAATTTTCTTTTTTAAAAATGATACTTATACTTTCTGTCTCTTTTCCAATATAAAGATGAGATTGTAAATCACTCTTTCCGTTACGGATGAGTCAATTTTAATTATTAACTGGTTCTTCTTCGGTGGAGGGATTAGAAGAAGACCGGTCACGGCACCAATGTTAGCTCGCTTCGTGGAGCTTTACGTTTATTTATATATATCTAACACACACACACATATGTATATATAAACAGAGAAGAAAGACAAGAGAGGAGAGAGAATAACAATGATAACGACAGGGAGAGAAAAGGAGAGATACATTAGATATTAGAGAAGTGTAATCGAGGGGCCAGTGGTATCAACCACCGTTAACAATGATATTTGATAAGAAAATGTTTTTTGCATATTTTGAAGGAATAGAGACGAACGGTCTAATGATTCTTCTCTGAAGCAACCATTATATGGATAACAATTATTTGGATTGGAAACAATCTAAAAACGATAGAATTATTTCAGTATTTTATTTCCTGTTGTTTAGAGTTATCTTACCATGATCAATAACAAGAAATTTGTATATAAATTCAATTTGTTCAGAATAAACATACATACAAAAACTAAAAAAGCAATTCAATCTTGTTTTTTTATATAATAAACAAAAAAAAAACTTTTTATTTAAAATTTTAACTCACCTTTTTTTTTTGATTGATGGTAATTCCGATGTTGTAAAGAATAAATAAAACAAGTTCTTTCCGATCGAGGTTTGATTATCTAAATAAAAGAAAGATTGCATGTGTCATTTATCAATATTGATTGGTATAATAAAAATAATAATCAACTTACCATTCTAGTTCTTTTTAATGTTTTTTCGTACAGGATGAGGACGTAAAGAACTTCAATTAATAAAATATAAATAAATAAATAAAAATATATTTATAAATTTTTCTTGTTTTTTAAACGATTTATATCGACGATTTGATCCTTTCCCTTGAGTACATTCCTCATAAGATACAAACTCAATATGAATTAGACATGTAAGTACAATCTAAATTCAATTGAGTTGTATCAAATGAGAATGAAACAAAAGGGTCAGGATCAGTTTTGTGTTTGCAAAAATTCTAAATAAACATCTTCCTGAATCCTGACAAATAATAAAAAAATAAAAAATAATTAAAGCGAAGCAAGCAAAGCACAACATAATCTATGAAAACATGCAGAAACATCTTTCTTACCCTTGAGACAATTTTTTTCAAGAAACAATCAGAATAGATTGACTTTTAGTTTTAATGAGAGATAAATTCAGAGAAGAACGAATATGAAAGAGATGAGAGGAAAAAACATTTTATCTACTAATTTTTTTTGTTTTTCTTGACATTCGGCCCTAAGGAAGAAATGTCACGGAAAGATTTTTTTGATATCTATTTACATTATGTACAATTTTTGTTTCTATTATGGATAATTATATTGATATGATTTTCTATATGGGCAAACTAAACATCCGTTTTGCGTTGTCATTGGCAATACGAATTATGGCTGATGCATTTTTTCCTGGTGCTCGAAGAACATCTTCTAGCCATTTTGAAACGATAAATATGCCAGTACATGGATTAAATTCATGTACAGGAAGATTTTTTGGACAAAGCCATGGGCAATCGGTCTCTAAAACAAGATGTTTTAGAAGTGTGGGATGATTTCGGATCCATTTTCTCAATACTTTGTATTGATCTATATCTCGAATGTGTGTACTCGCTCCATTCAAAGACACGACGGAGTTGGGGAAGATCGAGATAAAACGATCAATTACTTCCAAATTACTGTCTGGTTTTACACAATGCCACTGAATACGATGGGATGGTGGTAGAATTGATTCTATGCAATCGATCATTGAACTAAAATGAGAATAACCACGGCAATGAAGAACTAAAGGCAAATTTTAATTTCTTGCCAAAAGTACTTGCCGTTCAAAAGCTAATTTTTGGTAGTCTAATGAAGATTTGCGCGTTTCATCAAATCGTGCTTCACCTACGCCGACAATATGTCGTCCTGATACAGGATGCAAGTTTTTCCGAAAAATGCTTTCTAGATGAGAAAGTTTTAAATGTATATCTCGTTCGGGAAGAAACTTTAGATCAGAGACTGGACAAGTACAAGTAAAAATACTTGTTACTTACTAATTGTACTTTGGACTTTTACTCAAGTACAATTACTTAAGTACATTTGTACTAAGTACTGGTACTTCAGTACATTTGTACTCAAATAACAATATTATGCACTAATATACTGAAGAGCCGTACTAAGGTATAACTGCGTATGGAGAACGTTGGGTATTGTTTAGATTTATCATATAATTTTGCCTTGTATTATGCTGATATCTATAATAAAATACATGCTACGATCAATTTGATTGAACTATATTGCCGATCGTTATCAATAAAATTATCAATTATCTATCATGATGATTACGAGTAGTAATGAACACGTGAATATTTCTGAGAAAAAACACTGATCATCGAGGCACTATTCGCCTGTTGCATAGCCTCCCTCGATACTTTTTCTCTTTCTCTCCAGCTGATATATGTCCTCGTGTACATCTGTTATACATATGTTTTCTCTTTCTGTCCAGCTGATATATGTCCTCATTCACTTCTATTTAAGTGTTATATGTCCCCGTTTATCTCTTTATTCAATTGTTATGCCCTCGTTTTGATTATGTGAAACAAAGGAGAAGAAGCTTCTTAACTTCTTCCCTCGATTTTTTCCTCGTATAAATACTCGATTTTTTTCACCAATAAAAAATAGTCTTATCCGCTGCTAAAATTCATTGAATATCTAATTTTGCCGTATGAACAAAAAATGAATACTTCTCTTTGTTTGCATTTTAGATCATTACATCACTTACTAATACTTCAAATTACCGGTAATACTAGCTTTTATATTCATTTCGTTTTATCAATTATTAAATGGCTATCGACTCTTGGAGAAAATATTTCGATTTCTCGTCTATCGACAAAAATCAAATGAATGGTTTATGTAAATTATGCAAGAAGAATTATAAAGATCAACATGGGATATATAGTAATTTTTTAAAGCATATAAAACGTGCACATCCACTTGAATATGATCAAATCTTCAATCATGGAAATGAATGTTCAACTGAAGAACAAAATATTATTAGTGATGATCGAGTAGCTATTGATTCAACAAGCACAAAAAACAAGCAGAATCGAATAATCTCGTCTATTGCAAAAAATTCAATCATTGGTTGTAACTTACCATTCAACTTAGTTGAAAGTCCAGGCTTTCGTGATTTTATGAAAGAATGCAACGTCAAATATAAACCAATATCTTCAAAAAAATTGAAACGTGATATTGTTCCTTCATTTAAGAGTACAGTTCTCAAAGTTATTGGTGAACAATTAAATAATATTGATTATTTAACATTAACCGTCGATGGATGGTCTGATCGGCGGTGTAGATCATTTTTGGGCATTATATGCCACTTCATTGATAGTAAAATGATTCCACACGCTGTTTTAATTGATTTTTTACGTATCAAATCACCACATACCGGTGAAAATATAAGACAATTAACTGAAGAAGTTCTTGATAAATTTAATATCAAAGAGAAAGTCTATAAAATTGTTACCGATAATGCATCATCGATGATCAAGGCTTATAAGTTCGGCCTATTTGTTGAAGAAGAAGTTGATGCATATGGAGATGATAGCAATTCGACACAAGATGTAAATCATGTATTTGATGATCATGTTCAGGGTTACCAAATTCAAATTTTAGAAATCAGAAGTTTTTTTTGAAAAATCAGGAGTTTAGCAGGAGAATTTTTTCCTAAATCAGGAGAAAAATCAGGACTATTTTTTTTTATATTGAACAGCTATACGATGGTTTTTATCTGATAACAGCCCACTATTCACTAATAGACGCATTAACCTCTTTTCCTAATGAGATAGATGCTGAAAAATTTTCTTGTAGGGGAATTAAAATTGTAAATATAATGGTGATTTTATAAAGTTTATTTCAATAGATAATTGAAACGCGTTTATTAGAATACGTGAAAAATAGAAAATCAAAACTAATTTCAAATTATTATAAATCAAGATCAAAGCATAAACATAGATATAAATACAAAGTAGAAAAAACGTAACCAATTTACTCAGCAATTCGTGGCACTTTTGCTAAGTGACTGTACTTATCTGACGATTGAATCTGTTTCAAAAGATTTGATTCATTTAAAAGATAATCATAGAATTGTGCGCAAGTAAAATGAGTGTTCATTTTAATCTTCAACTCTGCTCCAACTAAATCATGGCTCATTCGATTTCTATTGTCATTCCATAAGTATTTCATATGACTAAAGATTGTTTCACAAAATGCATTTGAAGCAGGAATAGAAAATGCAAATTGAACAAGCTTTTTTAAGTTAGGCACATCTTCACCATCAATTAAATACGCCCACAAATGATCAACTCTCACTGGACGATTTTCTTTTTGATTTTTATGACATCTGGCATCACGTTCATCATCATCGGAATCAAAATCGTGTGTATCTTCATCTTCACATTCATCACATAAACTTTGACCATCACCATCATTAGCTCGTGCTTCAGCTCGTTTTGATGCACCTAAATTTGATGAGAGAAATGATTCTATTTGCTTATTAATACCATCGTATTTTTCTTTCGATCCAATATATTTCGATTTTATATTATTAAAATCATTATATAAACCATCTAGATCTAACATTTAATCATTGATGTAAGTGGTACAATGTTGGATATTTTTCCATTCGATTTTCTCGATATTTATTTCATTGAAAATAGAAATCGCTTCATAAAATGACGCATTATTATTATTATATTTTTCAATATAGCTGATAACTGTACGAATAAAGGATCTGAAAGATTTTTTTAAATCATCGACTTCGGCCGAACTTTGAATGTTTTTCAATAATTGACCAACTTTACAGCCAAAAAAATCATCACGTAAACGGTTATTTAGTTTACGAATTAAATTTGTAATGATATTATGTAAATTAACACCAGTTGTATATTCACGTTGTAATGATAAATTAGCAGCTTGCACTTCTGGTAAGATATTCGTTAAAAAGTACAGCGAACATTCACCTGTAAAGAAAGCGATAACTTAACAAGTACGTTTTCACACAGAAATCATTACCTTTATTACAAGTGAAAAAGTTCAACAACAAGCCCGGACATTCGTTGTTTCCAAGATTTAAAAAATAACTTTTAATAACTGGATTTATAGCAATAAGACGTTCAATCGATTGTAAAGGACTAAGCCATCGTATTCGAATATGTTTAAGAATTACCTAAATTAAAGAAGATTGTCAGCAGAATATTCAAAAATTAGAATCGTTTAATCAATAAGAGCAGCAGCTATTGAAATAAAGTTCTTTACTTTTTGCTCTTGTTCAGCAAATTCGAAATATTTCACAAGTTCTTGTGAACGAACTGATGATCTACCGAAATGAGAATATATCTTTAATAATACGCCTTCAATATCAAACAATAAATGTTCATTTCCATGTTTTACTGAGTTATGAAGAATATGAGAATAACAATTGGCTAAAACCAAAGAATATGGAGATAACTTGGGCAGATTTAGAAAGTGCTAAATTTTTTACCTTTAATTAAATTAGGCAACAACTTGTTAAATAAAAAAAAATACGCTGTGATTATTACCAACATTCACGTTGGTGTTGTCAGACCCAATTGAAACTAGCTGATTAAGATTAAGTCCATTTGCTTCGATCACATATTTTATATTATTAAATAATGCATCAGCTGATTCATGTTGTTGTTCAATAAACTCAAGAATCACATATTTAACACCGAATTTTGAGAAAAACTGAACTACGATTGGAAGCATTTTAGCATTTCCTTTGTTGGAAGCATCATAACAAACAGAAAAAAAGGAAACACCACGCAATTCAAGAACCACAGAACCTGTAATCGATGGCGCAAGTACATTACATGCTATTTCACTAGCCTAGTGGATCAATGAATATTACTATATCAACATTCAACAATGTAGCATAAATAATATTATAGTTACTTTAGTTCGATTACAAGTAATGTTTTTTGCTATTGAAGAGTCTGGAAAGCATTTTTTACTTAAATTAATTGTACAGGCTTGTGAAATATAACTGTGAGAGTGCTTAACAGCATGAAAAACCATAGTGCCTTCTGCAGCACACAATTTATTAAGCTCTGATGTTTTCATATGAAATGTTTCATAAATAGTTTTTGCTAAAAATATTCAAAAGTACTTTTATTAGTAAAATCAATAGTGATAAATCGTACATCGATTAGATTCAGCTGATTTCAAATACTCCAAATGTCTTTTCGATTTTGTATGACTATTAATATCACCAATTCCACTGTTTTGAATGGAAAATAGCATATTACAAACAACACATAAAGCTTTTGTAGGATCCGTTTTACATTCTCGTAAAAACCTAGAAAAGCTCGGATTGCATAACCACTCTTTTTTAAATTTTGAACCATAACGTTTATTGATTGATTGATTGTTGTTGTTGTTGATGATGATGATGATGATGATGATGATGATGATGAATTGGCAGATGTTACAACTGTGGTAGTTCTTGGTGCAACAGTAACACTTTCTTTCACAGTTAATGGATCAACTTGTAAGGAAAAATCGTCATCTAATGAATCTGACATCTCAATAATATCAGCCATTGGTGGAGAAAACATTTAAAATAAAGATATTTCTTTGATTAATATATCGATTTCTGCAAGAAAATGATATAAAATTGTTTATTTAATCGAAAAACAATTTTGATTTGAGAAAAACAAAAGGCAATATATTTCTTTATGGGTTCTTATATCTGTTTATAACGCTTCGATAAATTTGTTTTATTCTCTTCAAAATCGCTATAGGTTCAAAATGTCGCTAATCGTCATATAAAAAAATCAGGAGAAATCAGGAGAAAACATAAAAAATCAGCTCCTGAAATCAGGAGATTTTTCACCAGGAGAAAAGTTCGAAAATCAGGAGATCCCTGGTGAAATCAGGAGGTTTGGCAACCCTGATCATGTTCGTAAGTGATATTTGACGTTCATTAAATATTTCTAATATTCCTGTGTCGTTGTTGAAATTTCACTTCATAACTTTTATAATCTTTTTTTTCATTTTAGAAGATGTTGAATTAAACAAGTTTCAAGTTATAAATGTGGATTATGATGATGTTGATGATTTTGAAGATTCAACAGCAACACGATTGTCGTGTTTTGCTCATTCTCTTCAACTTTGTGTGCGCGATGGTTTAAAAAATGCATCATATACATCGCGAGTTCTTGGTAAATGTCAATCACTCGCAAAAAGTTCGCACAAGTCATCCAAAATAGCTGATTTACTCGAAGAAATCGATAAACATATCAACAAAATGAATATTACCAGATGGAATAGTGAATATTTGCTCATCAAATCTATTTTATCTATTGAAAAAGACGATTTGGAATCAATTGCAAAATTAATGGAAAATCCTGTTAAATTTTCGACCAATGATCTTATAATTTTGCAAGAAATTGTTGATATATGAGAACCGTTTTATGAAATCTCTGTCAAATGTCAAGGAGAAATGCTGGTTACAGCAAGTCTAGTGGTGCCAGCAGTCGTTCATTTAATGGTTCATTTACGTGATATAAAAGAGAATATTTTATTTTGCAATAAACTTGTTCAACAACTTGAATCATCACTTGAAAAACGTTTTGCTGGTGTAATTAATCGTTTAAATCAGTCAGTTATTGAACCGAAAGATCCATTTAACGATCCAGTTTATTTCATGGCAGTAGTATTAGATCCTTCATTTAAATTTTATTGGCTTCGTGATTTAAAATTGCCTGTCAATGATGAAAATCGTTTAAAGCAAAGTATTATTCAACTTATCCTTGATGAAACTAGCAAAAATTTAACAACTTTATCTAATGGAAATAGTTTATCAATGACAACAACATTTACATCATCAACACCTAAACCAAAAAGAAGAAAGTTATTCATTTATAATGATAATAATGATGATCATTCGAATGGCTTAACAACATTGGATCCTGGTACTGAATTAGAAATTTAATTAAGTGGTCCAATAAAAGCTAGATTTTCAGAATATTGGCTGGCTTCTCGATTGAATCTTTTAAAAAAATTGGTTGTACGTATTTTTTCTGTACAGGCTTCGTCCGCTCCCGTAGAACGGGTATTCTCTTATGTTGGTTTGATTTTATCACCACGCCGAACAAATATGAGCGAACAATTGTTTCGCGATTTGGTATTTTTAAAAGTTAATCAAAGTTTATTATGAATTAGTTGATCGTTTTTATTTTGTATATCAGCTGCTTTTGTTTTATTGGATTTCGTTTTTTTTTAACTAATTTATTTTATGTCAAGAAAAAGTTATTATGCTTGTCATTTACTGGTTTTTTCTTGCTTAATAAAATTTTTATGCCATTATTGTGATTTATCTTATGCTTTCATTCAATAATTAAGCTAAACGATATATATAGGACTTTTAAAATTATGTCTAAACGAAATAAAGTTCCACAGAAGCATCGCATATGCGATTAGAGATTAAACTTCACAAAAGTATTTCGTTAAATAAGACATACATAAATAATCGGAACTCGAGAAGAAAGGCAAGTGTTTATCAATCATATGCAAGTACATTTTTACTTAGTACCAATACTTGAGTACATTTGTACTCAGTATCGATACTTAAGTACATTTGTACTCAGTATCGATACTTAAGTACATTCGAGAAGTACAAGTCAATTTACTTGTACTTCTAAAGTATACTTTTTACTTACGATTTTTAAGTAAAAAGTACAAAAATACTGAGTAATTGTACTCAGTATTCAGTCTCTGCTTTGGATGCATTCCAAACGTTTCATAAACGTGAATGTTTTGATACGGCAACGGAAAAACTGTGTCCCAGTTATGAAATTTATGTTTATTCGATACTAGAAATACTTCTCGAATATTAGAAGCAGACACTGATTGAAAGTACGGGTAATTCTTAGAGAAATCGTCTAAGTGGCAATGTGAATCAACAATAGGTAACTGTTGGAATAAATGAGTATGCAGGGGGCATTTACATGACTCATAGAGACTTTTGAAGCAAAGCTGTGGATTCATCACGAGCAGCTAGAAAATAAAAAGAAGAAAAAAACTCAATCATTTAAACACAATTCAGCTAGCAGTATGGTATTTAAAAACTATTTCAAAATAATAGATTTACAATAAAATATATCGGATTAAAATTGAAATGATGAACATCTTAGTGCAGCTATCAAAGCAATTAGATTTATAACTTCACTCATGTTGCCTTTTTCCAATAGAATAGAAACGATAAATATTCTATCATATCTACTAGAATAATTTTTAGCTGACGTATTGGGATCCGGACAGTTGCGCGCGGACAGTTGCTCGCTAGGACAGCTGCTCACGAAAAATAAATTCAAGTAATTATATGAATGAGACATATGAAGATATTCTTTTATAACAACAACAATAAATAAACAACAACAAAAAACAAAAGATATTCTTTACATCGATAACAAACGTCCGACGTATTTCAACTGATCCTGGATGTCTGTGTGTGGGTTTTGAACCAAATTGTTGTAGCCGTTGGTTCAAAGATTCATTTCTTTGCTTTGGTGGCAAACGACCGGACATAGCATTAATTACATCTGAATGTATATTATTTTCTTCTTTGATTAATTTATTTATAAATGTCCATAAGGTCGGATGTGTACATTGAAATGCACAGTTTAATTTGCGGTGCCACGCTTCAATGTTGTTATTGGTACGATACATATTGTTCTTCACCCGTGCTGCCATATTCCAGAATATAATAGGAAATGTTGCAGCTCGTCTTGAACGCCCACGAAGTCGACCAATATAATTATCTTCCATATAATCGAGAATAGATTGATATTCATCACCAAGATTCGAGCATAAAGATTCGAACCCACTAATAACTTGATTTGGTTCAAGGAAGGCTAACGCCAATATCTTGTGAATATTATCAGCAAATATGATATCTGTTTCATAGTTTTGCTTGAAACCATGAGTCTAAATACAAAAAGATAAAATAATATGCAATTGATATCAGTTGCTTAGGGAAGCTTACTTGTAAAAATCGTTGAACACTTTGGCTCAGATGGAAAAAACATCCACTGAGTTCGACTGTAGGAAAAGTACTGGTAACCATGTTCATTGCGGCTTTTTCAAAGTCCATCATAACTCGCCGAGGAGACCACCCAGGAACTAATGCCATTATCTCGTTCATCATTTTTTGATAAATCTGACCACTTTTGCCAGTTAATAGAACAAATAATACTGGAAATATATGATCCCGATAATTAGCATGTATCACAAAGAGTTGGAAAAAAAATTCTGGAACGACTTTAAATGTGCCGTCGATGAAGAAATCCTGCAAAACGAAAGAGTCGAATAATCTACGGGTATGTTTCGAAACTTACTGTGGCGTTTTCCATAATATTTCTTTGTTCATCAGTAAAAAAAATTAATATTCGATCAGATGCTGGACCAGTATCTTTACGGAGAAATATTGTGTCACGTGTTGTTTGATGATAATTATCTGGAACAACTGGAAAGTTGATGTTAAAGGGTGTTGGTGCAGCATTGGTTTCTTGCCGCCAACGACGAATGTTTCTTTTCAAATGATGATTGCTTGTTAATTGAACACGCACTTCATCTTGAACACCGATATTGGTTTGTGTTAAAATATTGTGCGGAATGGCTTGATTTTGTTGAGATTCTCTTCGTAATCGATCATAATATTGTCGAATTGGTCCAGAACGTGGATCTCCAGTATGATTTTCGTGATCACCAACGGTTTGAATAAAAACGTTATTTAAATCCGTTTGTAATCGAGCACGACATTTAAATTTTCTAGCATGTTCACATTTCCATAATATCTTTTTGTCGCTTCGTCGGTCAACAATGTAAGAAAGCCCGTTGTAAATAAGTAGAGGAGCGTTTTTTGAGGTTGATGAAAGAATAACTGACATGATTATTTTTGTAATGTACTGTGCCGAGAATGGCACTGCTTTTATATTATTCTGCCGTTTGAATACGACTAATCATTAGAACCATAATGATCATCAATCTGCTGTATATGTAGTTTAATCAGTTCTGCTAATTTTGTTCTGAATTCTACCACTTACAACTAAGTGATGATCTCATTCACGAGCAAATGTACTAACGAGCAATTGTCCAAACGAGCAAATGTCCACACGAGCAACTGTCCGACGAGCAACTGTCCTGCGAGCAACTGTCCTAAACCCGACGTATTATCTTCTGTCAGATTATTTATTAGTACATCACCAATATAATTAATTTCTATCCAAATAAAAGCAAATCTTGTTTGTCAGAAGAACTAATTTTATCCACTTAAGTATTGAATTAGAGTCACTGCATTGATACCGGCCATAATGGAGAGTATAAGAAAGCAGTGCAATATTGAATCGAATAAATAAGTTATGTTTTTTAAAGCTTTTCCAACGGTTCTCACGTCGATTTATTCTAAAATAACTTTGAGTTACATAGGACGGCGCTTGATCCCTATTTTCGTCATCTGTTTCAATAACAGATTCTTCAATCTCGCTGTCATCAGTAGAACATTTATTTGAGTTGTTCAGTTCAATAGAATGTTTCAATATAAAATCGGTAACATTTTCATCCTCCTCGCTATCGACTTCGTCAAATGTTCCATTCAAAGCATATCGAGTCATTTCTACTCGCTCATTGGGATCTGTAAAATTCATTTCAAGTCGTCTATATAAGCTCTGCATCATTGTTCGTAATGGCATTTTCGCTCGATTACTAGATGAGAAGTAAAGACGCGAAAGCAAGTCGTTTGACTTTTCGACTCCCTGCATGTCATATGCGGTCAAAGTTTCATTTTCATCCTGTTCAGCTAAATGATTACCAATCAAATGCATGTAAGGTGTACATCCAGTTCTTAATCCTGATTGACGAAAATCTTTTACAAAAGATTTCGCTACATCAGCTAGGTCACTTGTTCTTTTAGATTTCTCAGTTTTGATCAGTTGAAGCATGAACTTAAATTTCTCTACTAGATTTTTTGCATTTTTGGAAATGGTCTCATTTTCAATAATTTTCTCGTATGGTAATGAATCGACAAAGAATAGTTGTTGTAAATGGCCAGAAAAGCGTCCACAGGGTACAATCGTTTTTATATTATTTTCTGTCTCTAATTTGAAGAAAAAACGCTTTCCTATAGTAGCATGTTAGCGTCACTAGATGTCACTTCATGACGCTAACCCATGTTGCGAATACCGGATCATTTTTTGCGGTAAACCACGGTATTTATCCGTTCTGCGGTAATGGGAGCCGGTAACCGGACCGGTAAAACCGCGGTAAACCGGCGGTTTTTTGCTCATGTTTATCACATGTAAAAGTTTAAAAAAAGCATGATTAAAATAGTTTAATTGATGATTTGGAAGACTTTTTCTGTCAAAGATTATAGACGAACCGGTTAACCGCTTCTTTTTAGCGGTAACCGCGGTATTAATCAAAACCGGCGGTTTACCGCGGTAAATGTCGGATCATTTTTTGCGGTAAACCGCGGTATTTATCCGTTCTGCGGTAATGGGAGCCGGTAACTGGATCGGTAAAACCGCGGTTAACCGCCGATTTTCATGCGGTTTTTATTGCATGGGAACTTATTCATATCGTTGAAATACGTTTTTCTTTTCTTCGTTTCTATTTGATATGGATAATCCATCTCATGATTGAGATCATGTGATCCTTTCGGTTTAGCTATGTTTTTCGTTATTGCGTCGTTTAGTTTTTCGTTCGGATATATAAGGGGCTATCCTTATATTTGTTTGTTGGTTTTTTTGTTTTGTATTCTCATCATCTTCGATTTGCTACTTATTCTTTTTCATTATATTATCCAACTGAAATACAGTGCTGTGAAAAATTATAGACTCACCCTACTCCTGTGCCCTCTGTCGCTTTTTTTTCTCTATTAATGTTGATTTGTCATTGCAAATTCAACGCCAATATAAAGATTCAGATGTGCTTTTTCAACATTTATTGCAATAAATGTTGAAAAAGCACATCTGAATCTTTATATTGGCGTTGAATTTGCAATGACAAATCAACATTAATAGAGAAAAAAAAGCGACAGAGGGTACAGGAGTAGGGTGAGTCTATAATTTTTCACAGCACTGTATATTGTTATTGATCATTATAATCCATAAAGATTATTATAAAACAATATTAATTATTGTTATTGAGTATTTATTTTCAATCATCAATATATTCAAAACTACGGTAAACTAGTTTTACACGTGAGCTTCTCAATATACATATACGAGTTCATAGAAAACGTCGTTTAACCTACGAAATACTACGTAGATTAAAATAAAATATACATCCTCAAAGGAGAACCTCACATAGCAATAGAATGCTTGTTTAAGATATCGAGTTTTTCTTCCAATTTTTTGCTATGTGCTGGTTCATATTCTCCTGTACGTGATCCCTCGGCTAAAATATCTTTCAAAAGAATATCAAATATTCTCAATCGCATATGAAGAGTGTCCATAACATAGTCACTAAACTCGAATAAATCGCCAAATAAAGGTTCAGATTGGTATCCTAATTCGTTGTTTGCTCCAGCTTTCTCCTTTTTTGCCAGACAAGTACGTTTCTCTTCTAGAGTTCGAGCGCCACGAGTAGGATCGTAAGAAGAAGTAGGATTAACTATGATTTTTTGTTTTTGTTTGTTTTTATTTTTTCCGGTTCCCACCCACACTTTTTCTTCACATTCTGTGTTTTTATCGGTAACATGTAAATAAGACTTGCTTTGTGTGCAAAAAACACACGGATAGTTGCAATGAACGCCAGCAAGTCCGAAAACATAGACTGCATTTTGAAAATCTCCTCCAAGTCGAATTTTGACTGCTACAGTTTTCTTTCGAGTTACGTTCAAATATTTTACAGATTGAATAGAATCGAGGAAATATTTTGGTAAAGTTTTACGTAAAAGCTCATTCGACTCTTTTTGAATCTCAAAAATGCCAACAGGCACCAGCTTTTTAGCTGTGTGACAAGATGCTCCTCCATCAACACAATTGACTGATATAGCAACAACATGTTTGTTACCCATCAGAGTACCGTCCATATTTAAGCGAAAAGAAAGCTTATTCAGCTGTAAAAGATCAGGACGAAATTTAATAGCAACAAAAACGGCAACTCTTAGAGCAAATTCAAAAGGTGCATATGCTGAATCTTTGGTAAATTTCAAAGGTATTTTCTGATTAGATTTATTTCGTACTTGCTCTAGTTCTGCCATTGAATAAAAGACTTCTTTACTCTCTTTAAAAAATTGATACATAGCTTTGATAGCTGAGTCAGTAATGTGATGTTCATCTTTTATATGAAGAAACTTTCTTTTAAGTTCTTCTTTTTTAATAGAAAGAGGATTTTGTTTATAGTTTCTTTTTGAGGCAGAAGCCACACCTGATTGACAAAGACAATCGTCATCATCTGACGATTCTTCTAAATCACTGTTCTCACTATCAAATGGTACTATTTGACTTTTTCTTTTAGTTCCTCTCGTGGAATAAACAGGTCCCAATAAAACATCGAGATCGACATTTTCTTCGTTTGAAAGACAATACTCTGAATCATATAATATAATAGTACACGTAAAAATGTTTGATTCGACATTGTTAATTCGCCTATCTAAAATCGTTGTTTTTATTGTTTCTTCAGTTTTTGTGATATCTGGCACTATTTGTCGTTTTTTACAGTATGTTCTTATAATGATAAGGATCTCATTGATATCAATGCTTCCATTTAGATCAAAAAGTTCAAGTGCTCGAAGAGCAAATGATTCACAAATATGTATATGTAAACATGTATTACCAGGTTGAATACATATAGTATCTTTATCTCGAACTAGTAAAATATGATCTGATGAATTAACAGATTCATATGTATCAAAATTAAGGCACGAAAACTCATCACTCTTATTTACGCGTTCGATAGCATTTGAATGAAAAAAAACGTATTTGTTTTCATTAATACTTTCGTCACAGTTATATGTCTAACCTTAGCTTTTTTCTTCGCATCGCGAACAAAACAACTCAATTAACTATATAGTTGGCGACGCATCTTTGGCACATCAACATAAAGTTTGACAGTAGAATGAAAATAGTAATAGCAAATCTCATTAATGAGATTAGAAATATTGATAGATTTTGAAGAACGGCTTAAAAATTCACAAAAAATATCTTTTATACAAATAAAGTTGGTGCAAATCATTAGTCCTTCCTCATTCGTGTAATCGAATGTCAGTAGAGGAACTTGTTGTACAACATCATTATTTGTTAACAGATATTCTTGTTCATCACTACTATTATCATTTGCATCCGTAGAAGAAACTGAAATGGGACTTGAAGAAGGACTACTATCAAAAAGAGATCGTGGAATATATACAGGCAAAAATTTACTCTTTGCCTTCTTTTTAGAACGAGCCAGAGATAAAGCATTTTTACAAGAATTATTAATGATGGAATCGCTAACATAAAGATTTTTTTCGTTCAAATGAGCTAAAACTTTCTCTTTCATCTCTTTTAACAAGCCGGTGGGATCTATTAACTCCCATCCCGGAGTTTCAACTTCTATTTTCAATGATTTCTCACTCATCTTAATAGATAAATCAAGACGCAATTGGTAATTCAAGACTAAAAGAGAAAAAAAAAGCAATGCAAAAAGAAATAAAACTTACAAAAAAACGAAAGAAGAATTTTTCCTCGCAGCGACACTAATTTTGAAACGACGCGAACACTAAATAAAAAAGTTGACATATATTTGCTAATAATTGATGTTATTTTGTTGATTCAATCGTATAAAAGAAAATCAGAGGGGAAAAAAATATCTAGTCTACAGATATAAAACATATTAGTCTTAAGTGTTGTTTAAGAAGAATGAAAAAATTTAATAGTATATTTCTATTAAAAAATAGTCTTGTATATCTTCATTTAAGTTTCAAAAAAAAAAAAAAAAAAAATTTGATTTTTTATTTGTTATAAAAAAAAATAAAAAGCAATTAAATTATAACACTAAAGTACTCAGCAAAATAATTTATAACAAACATCTAAATATGAGCACGCTTATTCTTGTCATAGTCTTATAAAAAAAAGACAATTAAGAATTTTTTTCTCCCTTGAAGACTAAACATTCTGTTTTCTATTTTTCTCAGTTTTGGAATAAACAAATAAGAAAAACATTCTAAGTAGAATGAAAATTTTACCTGAACAAATTAATAGTATAGTCGAGATTAATAATATATTTGGTTGAGTAATGTTAATATAATTGATTCAGCAATCGATCGAATTAGTCACAACAATTTCTAAAAATAAAAAAATGTACTTAGATTATTAAAATGTACTGAAATATCAATATACATATAAATAAGACTATCACATCGCAATGAATATTTTCAACACAAACAAAACTTCGAATAAGAAAAATCGCCTTCAATGTTCTCAACCATTGGATTGCTTTCAAAGAAAAATCGAGGTGAAAATATCTATTCAAGGATTTTTAAGTAAAGATAATCTGGTGTGTCAAATCTTGTCTTCGTTTATTAGCTTGTTAAGACAGACGATGATCATATTGGTTCAATACTTGATCCTATGAATATCTTTCTTTTTCACATCGCCATTAGCGGACGTGAAGAGTAATATTAATTTTGTAACATTCTTCTTACGAGACTAGATTTTTATTTATATTATCTTCTTTACAAGTCATACTTGATGGTCGAAAATTTTAAATGAAACTATTTTGAGAAACAGTGTTGATGTACTCAATCGTTCTTGTTTATGTCGAATTGTTGTTTCTAATGAAAGTGTCTTATACTTCTTCTAAATGTAAATAAACTTCAAAAAACTTTATTGGCAACACTGATATAGATTGAACGTCTCTTCCTAGTTTAATAAATATGATATACTAAATTATAGATTTGATCAAGAGAATTAACCAACACTAACTATGGGAAAACTATTGTCGTAAATAAAATATTCCATTTCAATGTTATTTTTTTTTTATGTAAGTCTTTTAAAAGAAATTCAATTAGATGAAAAATGTTTAAACTTGTTAAACATCAGGAAGTCATGAGATACCTGAAGTTTCAGCAAGTATTGTATGTTGATTGACTTTAAATTGAAATGAAGATTAATGATCGTCAATGAGAACAATTTTGAACATATCTGAAATAAAATTAAGATGATATCTATGTGAATATGTGTCTCTAGATGTATATGTTCGTTTGATGAACAAAACATAGTTCAAGCAATAGAAACATGCGCAAGCTCGTCAATCGCTCTTTTCTCTCTACTTCAATCTTCGCAGTGAAAACGATGTCTTTGATAGACTGTCATTGTCATGTCAAACAATGACGTCTGGCACGTGTATCGTGATGTCTTCTTCTTTTGCAACGTATAAGTTGACCCCTCAATTATTTCATCTTCGAAATTTGTATTCACTTCTAATCGTATATTTTCGATCGTTTAAAAATGTCTGAACCGCAACAAGAAAAACAAAACCAAGGTCAGGATTCAATCATCGAACCTTCATCTTCAAATCAAGCTGAAAAAAATAAGCAATCATTGCCATCAAATGTAAAAAAGAAAAAAAATCATAACAACAATTATCACTCATGGTCAAACAAAAGTAAACAAAACAACAGAACATCGTCTTGGAAAAAATCTTCATCATTTGGTCAAAATAAATATGGTTTACCTAGCTTTGGTTCTTCAACTTGGCAAAGTACAACAGGTAATTTGCGTAGCACACTAATCTTTTATCAAGATAAAGGCTAGAAAATTTAAGATGACGTTCAGACTTTTATTTGTTTTCATTTCAAATCGTATAGTCTCATAACTTCCAAATTTTTTAATATATAAAAATTAGAAACTTTTTTAAATAGGTCCGCAGCCATTGATGCCACCACCTAATCAATTTTTGGTAACACATTGTTGTATTTGTTCAGCATATCAATCGCATGCATGTGCTAATAAGTTTCAATTCATATTAAAAAAAAAAAAGAAAAAGAATTTTTATTTACATCTGTACGCTTGTTCTAGATAAATATCATCTACTTTTCTCTCTTGCAGATTCTGTCGATTGTTTCATCCTTTCCTTATCGTTATTGATCAACTCTTTTCTTTCGTTTTCCTGCTCCTAATTTATTGATGAAGACGTACGATCTACGACCGAATCGTTTGAAAACACGAGATGGATTCTTCAGAAAAATCCATTTAGGAACATATCTTGATGATATACATGATAATCCGAAATCTAGAGGACCACCGAAAACCCGTTGGCTACGAGGGATAGCCGCACATCTTCAACAAGCTATAGTACGAGCTACATTGGATGGTGCGAGAGGAGAAAACGAACAGGGAAATTTTCATTGTCTAATTCTGCAACAATAACTGCTCTACAGAATATTGGTATCGAAAATAAATGGGTAACATGTCCTGAGATTGTTCGATTATTGAATTTAGAGACAACGTTCATCAAAGGTGATTTTGTGAAAAAGGCGAATAGACTTGAATTTAAACAAGTCCAAAAAAAGCAACATTACTTCGATGGTAATAATAAACCTCGAGAAACAGCAGTAGCTTATTATCTATCCTTTCGCCTTCTTAAACAAACTCCGCAGCCCCATACTATCAACTGATTTAATAAATCAAAATAATGTACATAATGTAAATACGTAGAAAAAAAACATTCAAATCTTTTGTTGACATCTCTTCCTCCGGGCCGAATGTCACGAAAGAGAAAAAAAATACTAGATAGATGCATCTCCTCTCTTATCTGTTTCATTCTTCTCTTCTGTTAGGTCCTTTTATGGATCAATAACTTTATTTTCAAAAGTAATAAGACCTAAGCTTTTACAAGAAAAACGAAAACAAAAACAAGAAAAAGAAAACAAAAAAAGAACAAGAGAGAGAAAAAAACAGCTCACCGTCGACTCGAAAAAGAAGATACAACAGAGAGAGAGTTAACCACCCAATACCGGGATGTGTCCAATATATTTAATACGAAGGATCGTCCATCTATATTCATTATATAGATGGCGATCCTGACACCTTCCCCACACGAAAAGGAAAATTATACGAACATATCAGGTGGTATTAGGTGTTCGTATAATTTTTGCCAACCATCCGATTTAACACCAATGTACAGGATTGACTTGACAATGTTAATGTTAATGTATTGAATATGATTTGCTCGTAATAAATTTTTAACTGAAGATATATCGATATTGACGGGACGAATAATTTCGTAGTTATACCGATTACGTCGATGACGAAGACTAGATTTTTTATTTCGTTTTTGTCGAGCAATTGATGATTGCTTTCGTGTACGATGTGAAGCATTTTTATTAGAATGACTTGTAGTTGTATCAAGATGTAAATTAGTATCAGGTGGAGTTGTTTCAATATATGGAATAAGATCAGATGGAATTGTGCCAAATGTCGTAATATTAGGACTTGGAGTAGGACAGCGTTCATCTATTTCATGAACAGCCATCATTGTAACGGGACATTCATCAATAACATGCGAATCAGATGGTTGATTTGTCGTAAAGAAATAATCAAAGAAATCATTATCTCGAATTATTAGGTACTCACCGGACATTTCCGAATATTGTATACATGTTGATGCTGTTGAAAGGTGAGATTGATACATAAATACGACAAGTTGAGCCAACGAGAGACAGTCATAGGCTGCATATTTTATTAATTTTGAACGATGATGTGTAGAAGATCGTGTACTATTTGTAAGTCGATTATCCAACCCAATTGACCATCTTCTTAATGTATCTCTTTTTGATAAATATTGTTGAAAAATATATACTACAGCGTCTTGTAAACTCCACAATTCACCGGTACGAACTTTTAAGTTATTTATTATTTGTGGAGGTAGAATTAAATCTGGATCAAGCGTAGGTGCATGTATAATTAGTGAATCATCATTAACATCAGGAGAGTCGATTTCCATAATACATGTATGAAAATTGAGCCAATCATCGAACCATGTCCTAAATACAGTTTGAGAATTATGTAAAAATGATGTTATAGGAAATGAAAAGAAATTGAAACATAAAAATGGAGTTAGTTCAGGAATAATAGAACCCCAGCAATAAATGTGAGCATCACTACGTAATATAGACGAAAATAATTCTTGTAAGTTTGAGAAATAACAAGATGGTTCATTTGGAAGAAATTGAGCTTCAATTAGTAATAATGGCGAGAGTATGTGTTGACCATTGAGGAAGTATATTTGAATCAAAGCGGGTATATTAGTAAGATAATCCGATTCGGTATCAATTGTGAAGAAATTAGTTTGTTGAGCAATGTTAATCAAGTGTTTAAATTCGTGAAGTGTTGTGCACGTGTTAATAAAATAAATATCATATTGATACTTTGGTTCATATGGGACAAATAGTTGTTCATATAATTGTTCTTTTTCTTCTTTATTTTTTCTACGACGTTGATTCTTTGACATTGTTGAAGAATATTCAATATATGATGGACATGTATAGTTAATGCATGTGCATATAAAATTAAAAAGCTATAACAAAATAATGATAATGAATGAATAGCGAAATAACATATAACGGAATAATGTTGTGTAACATATAACAACAATAAAAATAGTATAACCAATATATTAATAACACTGTATATAAATGAAAAACAAAATAGCCAATAATAATGATATAAGATAATCCGTTTACTAATGGACAATTTACTGGACAAATAGATGATCGACTAGATGGACAATTTACTACAGTGTGATGTTTCATGATGAATAAGTAGATGACGTAACAGATCATTAGTCATTCATATATTTATATCGATGGACTAATATTACAAGTGCGTAATTGAGAGACGTGAACTTGGAATATTTTTTTATCATCGCTATCCTGTATCCAATATGTCGGATGTTGTTGTTTAAGAACAATCATTGGGTTTGAATATCTGGCTGATAATTTTGTTGGGAATGTAGAAAGACGTTTCAATACAAAATCACCAGGATTATAATGAATATCGAGACGATTTTTGTCGTAGATTTTTTTATAATTGGATTGATTGATCTTCATATTATTGCGAGCCTGATTGTGGTAACGTTGTATCGTTTGCTGTAAAAATTTAAAATAATCGTTTGGCTTTGAAAATTCATAATATGACGGTGGTTTTTCTGGTGGTAGTTTTGGTTTTCGACCAAACTGTAGTTCGTATGGAGAAAATTTTGTTGTTGCATGCTGTCCTGTATTGTATGCGAATACAATCGACTTTAAATGAATATCCCAATCATTAATACATTGATCAGTCAACTTCGCTATTTGACGTTCAAATGTTGAGTTAAAACGTTCAATGGCCCCATTTGTTTGTGGATGATAAGGCGTCGATTTTATATGATGACAACCTAAAATTTTCGTAAATGCTGTTATTAGTTGGTTATTGAAATGGGGACCTTGATCAGATATAATTGTATTTGGTACACCATAATTGCATATGTAATATTCATATAAAATTTCAGCTGTGGTTTGCGCAGTTTGATTGACTAACGGAATTGCAATGACCCATTTCGTAAAATAATCCGTGATTGCTAATACATACTTATTTCCTTGTGGAGTAATTGGAAAAGGACCTGAAAAATCAATTCCAATTAATTGAAAAGGACCTAATGGAGGTTCTAGAGGATGTAGTAAACCAACAGGTTTTCGACGATCTATATTAAATTTTTGACAAGGCATACAGCTTTTAATATAATTTTGAATAGAGATTTTCATTTTCAAGTATATAAGAACATTTAGTAGTATTATTCTTGATTTCTAATGTTTTTCCTTGATATAATTTGTCTTGTTTTTGAGCTGCAACTATACCTAAAACGTCGAATTCATGACCTTCCTCCTGACGAGGTTGATCATCTAATAATGATGCTGTATTGGTAGTAATATTCGAATGATTTGATGATATTGGTAGAACTTTTGCTTTAGCTTGAGCTCGTGTAATAACTGCACCTATAGTAGATGAACTATGTACTACATTATTACTTGCCTTTTTATTAGTTGTTTCAGAAGGAATAGCCGGTACATAACCAAAATCAGGATCGAAAAATTCATCGTCATCTTCCACTTGACGAGGATATCTAGATAAATAATCAGCAATACAATTACATTTACCTGAGACATGACGAATTTCTTTTATGTTGTATTGTTGTAAAATTAAGGAAATACGATCTGCACGTCGATTGTTTGATGGTTTTTTATGCATGTCACGTAACGGACAATGATCAGTTTGAATGATAAATTCACGACCTAATAAATATAATTTCATACGTATAACACAATAATATATAGCCAATGCTTCTTTTTCAATAGTAGGCCATTTTCGTTGTAACTTTGGTAACATTTGAGAATGAAAATAAATATTTTTACGTTCACCATTAATTTCTTGATATAAAACACCACCAATACAATAATCTGATGCATCCGTTGATAATATAAGAGGCGCATGTGGATCAGGATAAGTTAAAAATAATGGTTTAGATGTAATCATTATTTTTAATTCATTAAAAGCTTCTTTTTGTGGTGTATCCCATTGAAACTTATGTTTATTTTTCTTCGTCAAATTTGTAACAGCCAATATTGGTGCAGCAATTTTTGCATAATTATTAATGAATTTACGGTACCACCCAATAGCACCTATGAAAGCATTAGCTTGATTTAATGAACGAGGCTGTGGGATAGCCAGAATTTTTTCAATTCGTTCTTGAAGTGGTTCAATACGTTCAGCACTAATGGTGTGCCCTAAATAGTTAATCATTGTTCGAGCTAATTCACATTTTTGTGGATTTAATTGAAATTTATGTTTGTTAAGGATTGCTAATACTTGGTTGAGATGAATAACATGTTGTGTGAATGAATTTGAGAATATTAATATATCATCTAAATATACCAAACAAAACTTTTTGCATGGTGACAATAAATTAGACATAATTCGTTGGAACGATGGGGAGCTATTTTTTAACCCTTGTGCTAAAACATTAAATTCATAAAGTCCATGAACGGTAATAAATGCCGTTTTATGTTTGTCATCTTCCCGAATCGGGATTTGAAAGTAGCCCGAACGAAGATCTAGTTTCGTATAGTGCTGACAACCACCAACAATTTGTATTGTTTGTTCAAGATTTGGTAATGGATAATTATCTTGAACAGTTATATGATTTAATTTCCGATAATCAACAATAAATCTATAAGAGCCATCTCGTTTTTTAATCAGCAAAACTGGTGCTGAATATTGAGAGTGTGATGCTCGAATTTGTTTATTTTTTAACATTTGTTGAATGGTGTCGTAGGTTGCATTTTGCTTTTCTATAGTTTGTGGATAAGGTTTAGATGTAGTTGGTGGATTATCACCCGTACAAATCAGATGAGACATTGATGTTTGAGCAATCGTTGTTTTTGATGTATCAAACAATGAATGATGTTTTTTTAAAACATTTAACAGTTCTTTTAGTTGTTGTTGATCTTCAATATGTGTAAGTAAAGTATTAATATGTTGTGCGCTATTTGCTGATAAAGATTGTGTTTGATCTTCGTCTATTTTTTCTTTTGTACGTGAATCGAAAATGGTAGCAATATAATTTTGTAGATGAAATAAATGATGCAGTCCCAATAATAGTATTGCTCTTTAAATAACGAATTCTAGATGTTGGATTATAAACTGTAATCCAAGCTATATGATTCACGATCGAAATGAAAGAATGTGGAATAATCAGATTTTCTTTATGAATAAGCTGATGAGCAGGTGAAAATAATAATTCTCCCGTAGCTAATCGTAAAGTAATTTTGATCGTATTTTCTTGATATGGATAAATACATGTGTTGTTCAATAGGTGACATGGAGTAATAATATCCTTAATTTTATCATCCATTGAAATCGTTGTTTTATTATTAGATGTATAAATTTCAATCTGTTTGTTTTTGTTATTAATATTGACTTTATATTTATTTATAAAATTCATTCCTAAAATGCAATCAGTACAAAGAGAATCAACAACTCCTACCACAATGTTGGTTTTTATTTGATTAATGTCAATAAAGATTTTTACCAGGCCAACTACTTTGAACGTCGTATAACCATCTGCCATTAAATAATGTTGTTGGTTATTATTAAGTGGTAAATGTTTTGTTTTTGTTAATGCTGTTTTCGTGATAAACGATTGTGTTGCACCTGTGTCAAGCATAACTTTCATTAGAATTTGATTGACCTTGACCGAAATAAAAATATGTGATGGATTTTTTGTTGAATTATAGGAATCGTCACCATCCGTCGGCGATTCCTTTATTGAAAATGTGGACAATTACGAATATAATGATCATGTTCTCCACATTTATAACATTGATACGGTGGTTTTGGTATGTTATTATGATGTGAAATTTGAGGTGTTATTGTATTAATAGGCATATGATCTGAATTAATATGGTTATAATTAGCATTATAATTGATGGTACTATCATTTGATTTTCTAGAAATAAATGGACGATTGCTCTGTTTTGATTCAGTATTAGTAATTGTAGAATTAATTGTTGGTGAAATTGGAAGCTTATTTTCTGATGACCAACTCGAAATATGTTGTTTGTAATCAAATGATTTTAATTCTTCAAGTTTTTGAGCATATCGTAAAAACTCTTCTGTATTTTGTGGATTTTTTAAAAAAACTTCAAAACGTAAAGAAGGTTTCAAACCATCTTTTAAATATTGTAATTTAGTAGCCTCATCCATCAATGGATTAGCTTCTTTACATAATTTCATAATATCAAAATAATATTGTCTCACGTTTTGATTAATGCTTTGTTCATAATGACGTAGATGATTAAATGATATATCAGCTTTCCCTGAAGATTCAAATGTTTTTAATAGATTTTGTATAAATGTAATCCATGTTGAACATAGATGTGGATTATCATAAAACCAATCTCGTGCATCTGCTTCTAAACATAACGAAACATAAAATAATTTTTCATCATCTGTTAATTTAAACATAGTCATCATATGTTGAATTTGCCTTAACCATTCAGATACATTTTGGGTTGATTTGCCACAAAATTTTTGTAATTTTTCAAAATTATTAATTAACATTTGATTACGTAGTGAATCTACAACAGTTTCTTTTCCATCAGAACTTTCTGATCGCTTCACTGGTATAAATGAAGGATTAATATTGGTTGTTGATTCTGTTTTTAATTCTTGATTATCATAATATTGAAGAAAATGCTTCATAAATGTGGTAAATTTAGACATATGGTTTTGTTGTTTAACATACCAAATAAGTGCTTCACCAGTCAGTAAATCCGGAATTAATTCATTTCGTTCAGCAGATGATATTTGTAATAAATCAAATTTTTCCATAATGTATCTTAACCAAAGTTCTGGATCACCATGCCCATTGAATTTTTCTATTGAATTTAGTTGTGATTGAATTGAAGGTAGTTGGTTTTGTTGACTTTGTATTGATTGCTGATCATGTAAATCATGACCAAGCATAGATGTTGTTGGTTTATTATAAATTTCATCATTTACATTTACACTAGTTGTTAAAGGTGTAGGGTCAATATTAACTTGTGTGGAATCTATCATCGATAACAGTTGTTGTTTTTCTTTGTTCACTGGTAATAACAAAGAATCAATAGATGTTTGTGTAAAATCTATCGTAGACCGGGTTGTTTTGAGATCCATTAATAATGTTACTCAATAAGATTTTATTTGCCTGCCACGCGGAAATTTTTTTTTTGTTTTTTGAGCAACACCGGCTAGTGTACCATTGTTAGGTCCTTTTATGGATCAATAACTTTATTTTCAAAAGTAATAAGACCTAAGCTTTTACAAGAAAAACGAAAACAAAAACAAGAAAAAGAAAACAAAAAAAGAACAAGAGAGAGAAAAAAACAGCTCACCGTCGACTCGAAAAAGAAGATACAACAGAGAGAGAGTTAACCACCCAATACCGGGATGTGTCCAATATATTTAATACGAAGGATCGTCCATCTATATTCATTATATAGATGGCGATCCTGACATCTTCAATTACTTATCGTCGAAAGTGAAATGAAATCGATCGTGAAGGTCCTTCAAAAATTAGTTATGGTAAGAGAGTATGCTTCGGCATGTTTTTATTTATTAGTATTTGCTGTATTTGCTATACCTTTTGTTATTTTTATATTTTTATTATTTGTCAGGATTCAGGAAGATGTTTATTTAGAATTTTTGCAAACACAAAACTGATCCTGACCCTTTTGTTTCATTCTCATTTGATACAACTCAATTGAATTTAGATTGTATTACATGTCTAATTCATATTGAGTTTGTATCTTATGAGGAATGTACTCAAGGGAAAGGATCAAATCGTCGACATAAATAGTTATTTAAACAAATAGTAAATATATCTATCTTTTTTTTTATTTATGTTTTAGTATAAACCATTTTTTATGTTTCCATCTAGTGCTGAAATAACTTTAAAATGAGGAGTGATGATACATTTTATTGTCTTTTTATTATATCGATAAAAACTAATAAATATTATAAAATCTTTTTGTTTATTTAAATAATCAAGTCTCCTTCAAAAAAAGAAATTTGTTTTTCTTCGTCACAACATCTCGACTCATCATCAATCAAAATAATATAAGTGAATTAAAAGTCTTAAAGAAATCCTTTTTCTCTTCATTATAAAAAAGACTTGAAACTTTTGCTGAAAACCGAAGATCTATCCAATTCTCTTTAGTTTTAATTTATTGTCTTTTTTAGTTGTTATACGTGTGTGTGAACCGATCGAATTCAATCCATTTGCAGACATTTTATTTTCGATTATAGCAAGTGAGTTCTACAAAAGAGAAAATCAAATATTCAATTGATTTTATATGTTTTAGATTGTTTCAAATGCAAATGGTGTTATTACTACTTTTATGATAGCTCCTGATAAACAATCATTACATTGTTCGTGTCGATTCGTTCAAAACTATGTACAAAACCTTTTTCCTATTATTATATTGTGTTTTCTTTGTGATGTTATCGTAAATGTTGTAATTGATTGATTGATAATATCAAATAAAAGAGATTTACAACACTATAGAAAAATAAATGAATATAACAAAAAAAATATATTGAAAGATTCTATTCGATCATAGATACGAACAATAATGGAATTCTTCAGGAAAATAACTTAATTCTTTTTGTATGAAAACAATTCGAATTTTATTAATTCATCTTCGTTTGAAAATATCTCATTAGAAAAATAAGTTTAAAGAAATAGAATCAATATTGTTATTTTATAAACAAAAAGAAAAAAGCTTTTGTAATGATAGAAAATATTTTGTTCTCTTTCTATTCGTTTATATCATATTGCTTTTGAAGATTCAATAAGAGATTGTGTGTTTCAATGAAGACATGCGATGCTAGTCTTCGCTAGTCATTAAAACAAAAAGAATGATGATAATAAGTGATTGGGAAACATACCAAACGAATAAGATGAAATTGATTTGAATGACTCAAATAAAGATTCAATATATATATTTATTTTGATTGAAATGAAATAGAGAGCATACGAGTGAATATTGACAGGAGAACAAAGAGATGAACTAAAAAGAGATGTTTTACATATTGTTAAGCAATCGATATTTAATTCGAAGCGTTTACTTTTGGAATAATAATAATTTATTCTTTTTTTGTTAAATATTCAAATTGTGAATTTCAAAAAAAAATTGAAATATTAATATTCATTTGATCAGAGCTCAATAGGCATTTACTTCCTAATTAAGTTAATGATCATCAACTAACGTTAGAAGCAAAATACATTTTTCTTTCTTTCCTCATCGATTGAATACGTCCTATATGAATAGGGCTATACGTGAACGCTTGCGCGTGTGCATCGAAAAAAGAACGAGACAGAGAGAAAAAAAAGATATTACATGGCTCTTGCTGGAGAATCTTTTTTAAAAATATTTTGCTGGGGACTTGAGGATACCTCTCAGTGAAAATTTCAGCATATACTCAGTTTTTTACGCTCTTTCGAATGATCTAATTTTTATCAACTCTGCAAGAAGTAAAAAAATTCGAACCAGTTGATATGCTACCTTTTGATTCGAACTTTCAATCTAACATTCTTCGTAAAAACTTGGTTTCGTCCGTCACAAAGTCCAAGTGTACACGTATGTTGTAACCGAGATGTTTGGGAACTATCTCCTAGGCTTATTTAAACACTACTCAAAATTAGATAATACTTCGAGGGATTTTTAATTAAGGCCCCCCGCTCAAAAAATCGATTTCAGCCCAGGAACATCCAATTTAAATGAAACTCTCAGGATATGTTGGCACTAGAAAGGGAAGACTAACATAACATTTTCAGCTAGAAATCTTTAGGTTTCAGTGAGATATGAGCCAAACAAGGGTCAGAAATGACTCATTTGGCATCCCAAATGTTTCGGTCCTGGTTCGTTCAATATATTAATATTTTTTTTGTTAGAAAGAGCATCTCAAGATGCAGGGCATGATGGGGCCCTTTTTTCGAAATAGTCTTTTTTAAGCGCAAAAAAGAGATCACAAGTTCAATGACTGAAAAAAGTGTCAAAAAATGGTAACCAAATCATATAACTGGCTGTATTTTGACCAAACAAAGGCTTAATTAAAAAAGGAGCCCCATCATGCCCTGCGCCTTGAGATTAGGGATGTACCGAGACCGAGACAAAACCGAGAGTCTCGGTCGTCTCGGCGAGATTCTCGGTGCCTCGGTCATGATCTTGATATTAACTAGTTTCAGTATCCGTTTTAGAACCTTGTTCATGAGACGAGTATGAAAATCGAGCTATCCATAAAAACATCATAAATATCAGCAGCCTTATGTGTATTATACTGACCTCATTTGTTAAAAACGCGGCGTTTTATGACGATTATAGTTTAAAATGGTAAACACTAGTCTTCAAAGTTACTAAAGACTTGCTTAATCTACGTCAGTGTGTGTCGATCTTAATGTGTGTTAACTCAGTCTCTGTTTTATAAATTAGATATAGAAAATTGAGGATATTTGTCCATGGAGATGCACGCGGGCAAGCAAATTGTTAACAAAAAAACGATTTCCCTCCGTAAATAACTTATCAAACTCAACGAAGATTCTATTACGAACCAGAGGCCGAAGTGGGGATAGTTGTTGGTCCCCAGCCTCGCCCAGTCCCTAGTCTGAACTTTTATTTCTTTGATGCCTACACTCTAGATAATAATCCTTTTCTCTGGAACCCAGGAAAATAGGTTTACAGATTGATTCCGGAAACCTGAATACGTTTCCGGAGTGATCATGAAAACTTTTAAAAGGTTCTAGGAAAGAGAAAATGGGCTTCCGAGCGTCGGAAGCCATAAAAGCGTTTCATATAGTGACCAACCCAGAAATGCTGATGGACTACCGGAAAAAATGATCTGTTTCTTAAAATATAGAAACTCCGTCACTTTTCGGAAGCCCTTCAGGGTTTGCAGGTTTATCGGTATAAAAATGTTTTTAAAGTATCGGAAGCTCAAAATCCCAGTTTTCCCTCGAGAACCTTTTAAACGTATCCAATATCAGCTCGTAAACATATTCAGGCTTCCGTAATCAGCCTGGAAACCTATTTAGCTTTTTAAATGATCCGAAACCTAATATCCNTAGCGCATGGAATTAGTCAAAATCAATGTGATTAAATTGCAGTAAAAGTCTCTTTCCGTTTTCTAGGTAATGTATAGAGGAAAATCATTGTTTTCGTTAACAATTTGCTTGCCCGCGTGCATCTCTATGGGCAAACATTCTCAGTTTTCCATGTGTAATTTATAAAACAGAGACCGAGCTAACACACATCGAGATAGACACACACTGACGTAGATTTAGCAAGTCTTTAGTAACTTTGAAGACTAGTGTTTACCATTTTAAACTATAATCGTCATAAAACGGTCACATTTTTAACAAATGAAGACAGTATAATACACATAACGCTGCTGATATTTACGATATTTTTATGGATAGATCGATTTTCATATTCGTCTCATGAAAAAGGTTCAAAAACGGAGACTTAAACTAGTTAATATCAAGACCATGACCGAGACACCGAGAGTCTCGCCGAGACTACCGAGACCGAGACCGAGACGAGCGAGACCGAGACTGACCGAGACCGAGTACTCGGTCTCGGTAATCCCTACTTGATATGCTCTTTCAAACAGAAAAAATATTAATATATTGAATGAACCAGGACCGAGAAATTTGGGATGCCAAATGAGTCATTGTTGACCCTTGTTTGGCTCATATCTCACTGAAACCTCATGATTTGGGGTTGAAAATTTTATCATAGACTTTACACTATAGCCCCAACGTATCCTCCATTATTCAGCCCCTTTCAACGTTCCTAAAGCAGAAATCTCAATTTTCGATTTTCTGAAGAAAATTGACTTTTTTGAGGGGGGAGCCTTAAACAATGAACTCAAGCCCAAAAAGATTTTCAAATAGTGTACCATTGAAAGACCTTCTGTTGGCCATTGTGATAAAAGTAGTGAGCTTAATTTCATCACTAAACAACGATGCTGGTCTCAAAATATGTTCCAGTAAAAAAAGCTATTCAGCGCAGTCCCTTTGGGGCTAGAATGTGGAACCCACGTATATCCGTGAAGCCTCAATAAACCGATAAAAATGTGTAAAATGAAAAATTTCTCAGACTACTGATTTTTCAAAA